CAAGTTATACCGAGTTATACCGAGTTGTACCCAAGGTTTATTTTGGTTTATGTAGAGGAGAATCATTGGTTTATATTGTTGTGTTCCCTGATCATAGCGGCCAAGGATCTCAAAATAACAAGAAGAGGTAATACAACATTAATAAAATATAAAACTTAGAATAAATATAAAAGCTAAACTATTTACAATGTGTCTTCCCTCCCCCAAAAGAATTTTTTCTAATGGTGATATTGTCTTCTATAGTATATTTTTATTTTTTATTTAGATAATTAAAATAGATTCAGTGATTAGCGTCTTGAATATGTTTTCTGTTTGGTGTGTCGCATTTCGTTCCCTTATATTCTCTCTCTCTCTCTCTCTCTCTCTCTCTCTCTCTCTCTCTCTCTCTCTCTCTCCCATGCATCACAGGTGAAATTATTCTAATGAGCCAGCCAAGGAAGACAGACACTTAAACTCATTACCTGTGGCCAGTAACGACTTAATTGTCCACAGGTACTAATGAGCTCCGGTAAGCGTAAATGTTTAGTCGTAATATCATTCAGGTATCGGTAATAATTGGAGTAATGAGCGAAAATACGCGCGTAAGATATTATTTCCCCCGTATTCAGGACGTGTTTGGTGGATCATATATATTATTGAGTAACCTTGTAATAGTTGTGATAATTTGAAAGTTATGTTGATGATAATGACATGATGGTCGTATGAGCGGTCGTAAAAGGTGTGTTATTTCCGCAGGTATAAGGTTAAGTCTTAAGTCTTATCACCTCGTAATAATCAGACTTGAGGCGGTAAATGTTTGTAAATTATTACTCTTGAGAAGATAATATTAGGTTAGATATACTTATAAATAATTATCTTTTATTACAGGTGAGGCGGTGATATGTTATATGCAGGTAATGATTACATTTAATTAAGGGGTTACCTGGTTATATATTAAGGTAATCATTTTATGTTAAGAAGATAATGTTAAATTGCCCTCGAGTAACACGAATATATTTTTATAACTGATTTTTATCTTTAATCATATCAGATGAAGGTAAGATAATAATTACATTTACACAGGTAATACGAATATACTTGTAATTACATAGCTAGTGAGGTAGTAATTACATTTATACAAGTAATACGAAGTTAATATTTCTATAATTACATAGACACCAATGTAATAATTATATTTTCACAGGTAATACAAAGATAAATATGATTATAATTACAGAGACCAATGTAGTAATTACACTACTACAGGTAAACGAGGTAAAATACTCCAATGTAATAATTACACTTACACAGGTAACATGAGGATAGTGTACAAATTATATTAACAAGGTGTAAAATTCCTTCTCGTCTCGTAGCGTTCTGATTGGCTCGTGACCTGATGGTAAACAAACCCGGCACGTCTCGTTAGCGACCTGGGGCTGATTGTCTCCTGATGGGGGGGTGGAGGGGTGTTAATTGGCTGATTGTATGTGCTAATGGGTGTTAATAGGGTGACTGTGTGCTAATTAGTGGTGACGTGTGATAGGACTGGAGGCTGGGGTGGTGAAGGGGGCAAGATGATGAATATGATTCGGGAATTCCTATAGGTCTTTCTCTCACTCGATACCCCTATTTCTTTCCTTCCTTACCCTCCTTACCTTCTCTCCCTTACTCTCTCCCTTATACCCTATGCCTTTCATTCTTTCCCTCCCTCCATTCCTTTCCCTTACTCTCTCTCCTTTCCCCTCCCTCCCATCTCTTTCCCACCCTCTGGAATGTTTACACCTCACCGGAAAGGTCGCCTGGAAGCGCTCCCCTCCCTGCTCTGGAAAGGTTACAGCCAGGATATCTTGGGAAAAATTCTTCAAGATGGTCTGTTGGTCACTCAGAAAATTTCCCCCAAGGCGTTGTGTCTAAATTATTTCCCAGAGATTATATATATACCAAGTAGTGAGTGTCCATCGTTGGCGTACCGCAAGAATGTCTCTGGTACCTATTAAGATTATATACGGCTGTGTAGCTCTTTTCTATAACAAACTAGTAATATTTTCATTTACAACCATTACACCACATCAACTAAAATCTTAACGTAATTTATCGTTTTAAAAATCTCACTGATATTTTTTTTACAGAGGTATAATAAAAATATGTTAAATGTTCTTGGAGCCAAAAAAACAATACTTCAACTATTTTTTTCTGGGTCAAAAAATCAGACGGAAAAAGTAAGTACGGTAATAGTGGAGAAATAAAATCATTAAAGACAAGATTAAGATAATAAAAGAAATCAACATGACCCCATCTGGCGGCCTACCACCACACCAGCCGCTGGAAAACCAATAAAAACCAGACCAATTACCAGGCGGCCGTACAGGAAGCGACCAGAGGGTAGGAGGAGGTGGCGGAGTGGTCGGTGTAGGCCTCTACCATCACAAACCTTCCCCCTCCCCTCCCCCGGGGGACTCGAGGTGGGGTGTTGAGCTGGAGATAAAACTGAAATTACTTGATCAGATAATTGACTCGGAGTGAACAATAAAAATCAGGGACGGTAGAGAGATCCGCCGAAATCCGTGGGTAGAGAGTTAGCTTCCAGGTGGCTTTATTGACTGACTGTAAGGAAGACGGTGTTGTTTAAGTACCACGTCACCATCAATACGTCTATAACTTTTAATAACGAAGAAATAACACAACGTACTGATACTGTTAACTGTATATATAATTTTTGGTTCCTTACAAGGTCGATTATTGTTAACGAAAACATTATTATTTGTAAAGGCAGTAATTTATGATTGTATATTAAGTTATAATTACATCAGTTACTTCACACAAAGATGCTGTTGTGTGATCGGTTTGTTTTAGCGTCTTACTGTTTTTTCTGTTGTATTAGATGACAGATTAACTCCTACAATATCCATTGGTCATAATACCTGCAGCACAATACTGTATAAACTATTAATAATATTTTGTTCTTTAGTGACAATATTCTTGTGTTATTGTGACAACTTCCATAAAACACATCCGTTATTATTTTGCTTCAGTTTTCTCATAGTTAGATATAAAAATATTAATTGACTCACTCGTTTAATTATTTTCTCACATCTTTACAGTAATTGTCCGTATAAATAAAATTAATTCTTCCAGATATTTATTTAAAATTTACAAAATACAATATGGCGATAATAGTTTGTTTATTATTTTTGTTTTGTCTATTTTTAATTTATTGGATTTTATTTTGGAAAAGGAATTTTTTATAGGTCTTGTAGTTTGTTCCTATATATATATTTTTTTTTTTCGGAGGAGGTGCAAAATAAAAGGAAATATTCGTATACTTTTGCAGATGTAAAAATAAAACTATCTTTCTAAGTTCACAATTTAACATAACAAAATGGTGAAGGTTAGGTTAGGTTAAGTAAGCTGTTGTTTTGGGTCAGCCTAGGCCAGGAGGAACACTGCCCCGCCACCACCGACAAATTAAACCATCGGTCGTGTAGACACACCTTGTTGACACGCCGCCGCCACCTGCCAAAGATTAATGTGTACAGGTAAATCTCCCTAGTCGACACCGGCCAGGGTAAAAAGGTTTGTGTTCGGCCACGGGAATTATTCATGGCTCTCTTTACCAGTCAGCTGTCACCGGCTGTCTATGGCCCCCGGCACTCTATGACGGCCTTCAATCGGCGATTCGCATTCGATCACATAAATGTGTTATGAGCGGGAGGCGGTGGGTGAGAGGTTGAGCGTGAGGGCTGCCACTCTCCTCCCGGACCACCGCTCTATAAGACGCCTTACATTATACAATAAGGACACAGTAGGCTCACTAGCACGGGGCCCCACTACCTGTATTTCAAGATTATCACTTGCACCCTAACCTGACTTAAACCAACTCTTGTAATTACACAATACAAACAAGAAATATTGAGCACTGTGTCTCCGCGAGCTGTGCTCAGTCCCTGCAGCATAACACAGCAGCTCCGCCACAGCACTAATGAACAATAACAAAGTTGGTCTCCAAAGTGAACATTAAACTTATACCACGGTCGAGGAACCTCAAGTGTTGGCGACTCACTTTCACTCAAGACTCATAAACGAGTTTAATTGAGAATAATTTATAGATCCCAAGAATGGTTGTAGTATTTTTGTGGAGGACGTGTTGAGGTCTGCCACGTTGTTATGGTAGTAGTTGACCTTTACCTGGTGTCTGGTGCCTCACACTCTATACAGTACTTGTCTCTACGTAATTACTGAACGACCCCGCGGCCCAGGTCGTCACTCCTTGTTAGCTACACCAGTCTTTAACGACCCACCCGAGGCGATGACCGTCACCGTCTCTGATAGTCGGTAAATTACTTTAATAATCAGAGGTGTTGGTATGTAATTTTGGTACGTTCTTTTACGATCAGTAGTTGAGTAGTATTGGAGGGTGAGAGGTGTGGGGAGGAGAGGGTGAGAGGTGTGGGGAGGAGAGGGTGACATGTGTGAGGGAGAGAGAGTTAAGAGGGGGAGGGGCAACCCCTGGGGAGTTCGTGTACCCCTCTCGTCTCCCCCACCCCTCACCCCCACCTCTCCTCCTTTTCCTTTCATAGTGGTGATCGGAGCTAGTCACTACCCCAATTTGTACCTGGTGATGACACTGTGGCGCCTGGTTATTTGCACCACTACACAAACTGTTAGTGCACCACTACACAAACTGTTAGTGCACCATTACACTACTGTCTGCTACACTAACACCACAACACTTGTGTTGCCATTAAACGTATGACTCACCACATGACAGTGACGTCACTGCCAGATCAAAATAAAGATAATTGTATAGTATATATCAGGTGCCTCAAAGAGAGCTCAGGTTCTCAACTGGCTCAGCCATGTTAATAGTGTTATTATTGTCCACCCTGTATCTGTGTTTTTCTGGCTAAATAAACTGTTTCAATTCAATGGTGAGGGAGAGGTGGTGAGGGTGATAGGGAGGTAGATGTGACAGAGTGAGGGAGAAGTAGTGGTGACAGGGAGAGACGGTGGTGGTACCTTACCTGTGAGTCTGTCCAGGGTAGGGTAGTGGGGCGCCAGGGCGGTGGGACGATCAAACGGCGACACGGGCAGGCCAGGCATCCAAGGGTGGCCGCCCGCGAGCCCGACCAGCCCTGGGTACCCCATGCCCATAGGTCTGTGGGCTGGAACTCTTAACACCGTGGGCGCTCCCCCTGCCAGCGGGCCGTAGTGGGGCGGGAGGCCGGCCAGGGCGGCGTACCCACCGTGGTAGTCGTCCACCACTTCTTCGTAACTCTCCTCGTCGTCGTGGTCGTCGTCATGGTCATCCTCGTCATCAGTCTCAACTCGTCTGTCCTCCTCGTCACTGGTACGATCTTTGTCCCCGAGGAGCGCCGAGATACTGAAGGAAAGCCTGGCGGCGTTAGCGGCAGGTTTGGGCATCGGGGCAGCGCGGGGATCGGAGAGGCGGAGGGCGGTGGGGCAGAGCGGCGGGTCGGGGGAGCCGGGCCGACTGTCACCGTCCACGTTGATCTCCTCCTCCTGCTCCAGCTCCACTGCTGTCATGGCGCCAAGTGATTGAGGTGTGTCCGTGGTGGTGGGGATGGCGGCCACAGGCGTGCTGGTGCTACACTCTTATGTTCACAGGACCGGGGACACACACGCCCTCGCCGACCACACACTAAGAGGTGAATGGCTCGACTCGACGTAACCCAGCCCAGGCCAGCCCACCCGCTGGCTCCGCCCTGAGATCCAGAGGGGCGGAACGAGGGCGGGGCTCATGGCTGATTGGTCAGCCATTCGCTCCACCCATTCCTAGCGCCACGTGATTGGCCAATGTTAAGTGATGGCTACGAAGTAAAGCCTACAAGATAGGAATCGGTAAAGAGGAGGCGGCCAGCTAAGTTAGGTGAGATTTTCTGCTAAATGAACTCCCATCCCTTTATCGATAGACGAGCGCACAGACCATAAAATCTGTTTTAAGTTAATTACACAGGATTTTCTGCGGCAAATCACAAGGAATGCTTTGTTAGGTGATGGGTAAACGGCCGAGGATCTTTGTTTGTCTACGGAGCAGCCGAGCCCAGTGTAACACTATCTTAGGCGGGCTAATGCGCTTAAACACTTACCTGGTATTATAGGTCCTTTGTCAGTACTGGTGATCTTAAGCTTTGTTTGTCTCTATACAATTGGCTGATCCAAAGACTCGATACAAGGTAATGTTTTTGTTTCTCACCCTCGCTGTCCAGAAGAAAGATAATACCACCTACTTTGTTTAAATATTTTAACCATTTGAATATTTCAGAAATTCATTCAAATAAATCATAAAAAAAACCTTAAGGGAATAAATTACAGAAATCTAACGAGAAAAAAAATCTTCAATTAAAAAAATATTCACTAGTTTATTTTTACCAACTTAATTATATTTATTTTATTACACTATTACGAACATTTTATTTTTCGTTCCATAAATACCAAACAGAGACGAGACAAATATCAAAGTCTAATTTTCCTTCGAAGTAAAATAAAATTGAACCTTTTACAGCAAATGTCAAGAAATAGCGGAACCCGGACTCAGAGCGTGCAATTCTCTCTCCACCAGACCGGGGCCTCCTCCTCCTCCTCCTCCTCCACCTTAAGCCAATTGTGGTTCCTTTGACTCGTAATAGAGGTTCAATGGAGCATTATTTAGGCATTGTACTGACAACTGATCTTTTTGATGCAATTTATCTGTCCCGCGCCGTCCTCACAAAGTCCCGATGGAGGTTCATTGATGCGTGTTTGTTTCAGGGGTTCCACTGCCTTCTAGGAACCCCTGTATGTGTTTCTCTGTGGTTTCATGGGCTCCTCTTACCCCCCCGGGAACCCCACCAAGTGTTGTCTGGTATTTCAGCATTAAAATTTTCTCTTGACTTCATTAGCGGGGAAGATTTCAAAGGACGATAGCGTCTCCTTCAAGAGAATTTCATTTTCACATTCTAAGACAACAGTTTTATCTCAAGTACCATCAGCGCCTTCTTCAGGTCTTAGTGACGCATAAGGACCTATATACGCAAATGGTTCCTAAAATTTTTTAATCTTTCAAAAATTTAGATTCTAAGATTTCCATAATTTTGAAAAAGATCTAAGAGTTGCCAGGTTTTTTTTATTTCCCAAGAGCTTTTGATCTTGTGAACTTTTTGAAGAGTTTATATGACTAATTCAATCGACAAGAGTTCCAGAATTTCAAGGAGCTCCGGATCTTTAAGGAACTTTATCATTTTAAGGAGCTCTAAAAGTACTTGAAGTTTAAGAATTCAAAGGATTTTCAACCTGTTAGGAACTTCTCATACTTCAGGGAGTTTTAAAATCTCCCGAAAGTTCAGAGTCTTCAAGAGCTTTATAGTTTCCGAAAGTTAGGAAATGTTTAGACCTTTACACTGCGACGAAACACAACCATGAGTCCTTCCCTAGATCATGGTAGAGAGATCCTTCAGGCCATGGTTGAGATATCCTTCAGGCCATGATTGACAGATCCTTCAGGCCATAGTAGGTTAGGTTTGAGTTAAGTTAGGTTAGGTTGGGTTAGGTTAGATTAGGTTATGTTAGGTTTCGTTAGCTTTAGGTTGGGTTTCGTTAGGGAAGTTAAGTTAGGTTAGGTTAGGGGTAGGTTTATAGGCGAAAGTTAACCTGTCAGTGATATACAGTTGGGTGGAACTCGAGTTGTTTCTGTGGGGTTTTATATATGAATGTAATATAGGAAAAAAAAAGACCTTTATAGTATGGAAATATAGTCTTGAATTTATTGTTTGGCATTTTTTGTTATTTACTTGTTTGTTTGTTTTCATTTATTTATTCATTTATTTATTTATTTATTTATGTATTTATGTCGTTAAAACCTTGTAATTCACCGAGACCTTTAATTAAGAATATGTATACACCAGTATGATATAAAGTCTCGTATATCCTGTGTATGAACCTTTAAGTGTGTATTTTAGGTTAATACATAATACACTAAAGGCTTTGGGTGTAACACGAGTAAATACACTGTACCAGTACCTCTTAGTCTACACCCGGGCGGTAATGAGTGACGCGGTGATAAGTACTGATGTTTGTAATGGGTGACGCCTTGTTGTTAGTATATATATATTATTTATATGCTTGTGACTCGTTAGAGGAATTATACACATATATTTACACAATATACGCACGCACACATAATATATACGTTGACACACACACACACACACACAAAGTAAATGAATAAAACCTCTCGCAAACAAAGTGTAACGTGTGTGTGTGTGTGTGTGTGTGTGTGTGTGTTTAGTAGTGTGTGTGTGTGTGTGTGCGTGCATAAGTGTATATGTGTGTCTGTATACATGTGAAATTGTCTACATTCATACACATCTATTGTTAAATGTCAGACTGTGTGTGTGTGTGTGTGTGTGTGTGTGTGTGTGTGTGTGTGTAAGGTCAGGTAGTGTATACAGAGACAGCAGCTGAAAATGTGTGTGTGGTTATGGGTGTGTGTGTGTGTGTGTGTGTGTGGCTATGGACGTGTGTGGGTGTGTGTGTGTGTGTGTGGGTCTTCCGTGTCACAACAGCCCTTTCCTCCCCCCCTGACCCCCACCGACGTGATTGACAGGTGACAGTCACAGGTATCACGACATAAAGGCTATAACGCAGCTAAATATGATGGATCACACCTGGCCTCTCTCTCTCTACCTGTACTGGCGCCTCGATAACTCATTTACACATCCAAGAAATGTTGATATGTTGAGGTTTTAATGTTTGACTACACTTCAACATTAACTAAGGCCTTTAACCGTGTATTTTAATTATTACATATACTATTCATCAATTATATAACTTATTACCGAGATTTAACAATTATGAAATTCAACGAAATTGGATAAAAAATAGGACTTTGAATTTTATTGGATTAGGTAGTCGGAAATAGGTTAAAATTGGTTAGGTAGGATTAGGTTAGGTTAGGTTATGTTATAGGTTTAGATATGTAAGATGAAGTTAGGTTAAAAGTTGATTTTAGTGGGTTAGGTTAGGTTATGTTAGGTCAGGTAATTTCAGGTTAGGTTAGGTTAGGTTAGGTTAGGTTAGGTTAGGGTAAGTAAAATTCGGTTACTTTACGTCAAGTTCCCGTAAAATTAAGAAAAGTTTCATTAGGTTAAGTTTTAATTATCTTGTATAATTAAAATCACTCGTCTAATTACTCTATCACGAACATTACCGAAGTTATCACTGTATCACTAATTAAAAACCTCTTCTCTGCTCCTGTACTTATGATCGTGCTAAGTATAAGATATAAGTCTGTACATTTTCACCATTGTAAGTAAGAAAGGTGTGTGTGTATGTGTGTGTGTGTGTGTGTGTGTGTGTGTGTGTGTATGTATGTGTGTGTGTGTGTGTGTGTGTGTGTGTGTGTGTATGTGTGTGTGTGTGTGTGTGTGTGTGTGTGTGTGTGTGTGTGTGGAGGAGAAAATGAGAAGGCTGAATGAGGGAGAGGGTGTTTAGTGACAGACAGACAGAGAGAGAGAGAGAGTGGGGGAGGTAACTGAGAGAGACAGAGAGAGAGACAGGAAGAGAGATAGAGAGGAAGAAGTAACTGAGAGAGAAACAGAGAGATAGAGAGAGTGGGGAGGATGAGTGCCGGGAATAACACTGGGATTAGTGTGGTCCTCCCTCCCTCACTGTGTGGATGGGGGTGATAGGACGTAGGGGGAGGTGAGATGGGGGGCAGAGTGGGTGAGGGAAGGAACAATAGGGGGAAGGAGAGGAGAGAGAGAGAGAGAGAGAGAGAGAAGACAGGGGAGGGGAGGGAAGAGGCTAAAGGCGGGGAGGTATAGAGGGGGATGTGTAGAGAGAGAGGGATGTGTAGAAGAGAGGGGGATGTGTAGAGAGAGAGAGAGGGGGATGTGTAGAGGTAAGAGGGGAGGAAGGTGAATAGGGGAGAGTGAGAGGGAGAGTGGTAGGTGGGAAGAAGGAGGGTAAGGTGGAGGTTTGAGGAATGGAAGATGGAGGGAAGGGAGGGGTGGCTAGGAGGGGGTGGCTAGGAGGGTGGTTAGGAGGGTGGGTTGGAGGGTGGTTAGGAGGGTGGTTAGGAGGGTGGGTTGGAGGGGTGGGTTGGAGGGTGGGTTGGAGGAAGAGAATGAGGTAGGAGGGAAGGAACGGAGGGAGAAGGAGAATACAGAAGGGAGAAATGGCGATGATCATTAAGTATGTAGTAGAGAAGCAGGAAGAGCAGGAGGAGGAGGAGGAGGAGGGGAAGGGGAAGAGCAGGAGGAGGAGGAGGAGGAAGGGGAAGAGGAGGAGGAGGAGGAGGAGGGAAGGGGAAGAGGAGGAGGAGGAGGAGGAGGGAAGGGGAAGAGGAGGAGGAGGGAAGGGGAAGGGGAAGGAGGAGGGGAGGGGGAGGGGGAAGGGGAAGAGCAGGAGGAGGAGGGGGAGGAGGAGGGAGGGAGGAGGAGGAGGGAAGGGGGGAGGAGGAGAGGGAGGAGGAGGAGGAGGAGGAGAAGGGGGAAAGAGGAGGAGGAGGAGGAGGGAGGAGGAGGAGGAAGGGAGGGGGAAAGGAGGTGGAGGAGGAGGGAGAGGGAAGAGGAGGAGGAGGATGAGGGAAAAATTGGGTGATAGAGAATAGAGAAAGGGTGGATGGATGGAGAAAGGGGTGGAGTGGGGTGGAGGAGTGGGTGGGA